ATATACTTTACATATATAAATATATAAATATTAATTTTAATCACATTAATATAATTTTACATAATCTATACATATAAGTTTTGGATTGCTAATATTACACTTGAGATCAAGCTTCCTTCTACTTGTTGCATGAAGAATATAAATAAAGTAGGTTCACCAGATTGGGATGGGGGAATTAAGGGAAAGGAAGAGGAGTGGGAATGGGAAAGACAATAGAATGAATGAGACATAAATTTCCTATGTTCATATATGAATACACAATCAGAGTAACTATATATCAGGTACAACCACAAGAATGGGAAATTATATTCCATGTATGGATGATATGTAAACACACATTCTACTGTTATGTATATAACTAAACAGAACAAATTTACAAAAAGAAATATAGATAAAATAACAAATGAAACAAACTATGAAAGTAGTAAATTTAAGATGAAGAAACTTTTTTAAAGAAATAAGAGAATTAATATCAGGAATATAGGGAAATGCTAAAATCAGTTGCATCAAAAGTAAATTAGCACAAATAATTTGTTATATAAATTATAAACACCAATTCAAATATTAAACTTCCCAAAGCTAATTCATTTAAATGTAAAAATAAGGATTAAAATGTACTCAAACACTTGAAAATAGAAAAAAATAGTTTAAAATATAAAAATTATTTTCAAATTATGGGTTTAAGAAATAGCATAAAATTAAGAGGAGGGTATTACAAGGTAAAGGAACTGAATATAGCATACTCAAATATTTATAACCCAACCTTGTGAATTAATGAGATCACGGATCCCTGATTAAAGACATTTTTTAAGGCCAAGAAACCTATGTACTAGGTATAGTTTACAATAAAGAAAATGCAAAAATATAATAAACAAGCAAACAAAAATTACTCATTCCTCCATCTCCCCACATTTCTTCATAGAAAAATATGCTTTGATTGTTCTGGCAGCATCCTCTTCAGAATAGTTGTGACTGGTAACAGAAATGACCTACTTCTCTTTTAACTTAACTGATTGAATAAATTCTTCCCAAGACTTCTGAGATAAAGTCAAAGGGCATAGGTTGAATCTCAAGGAAGATATGCCACATATTAACAGTAGTAGTCATATGAAATGACTAAAGATTCTGTCCTATCCACCAAAAGCAATTGATTTCTTGCTTTCCTCCAAGAGAAATGGGACTTTATTTTTTATTGACTTATGGTCACTTTTCAGAGAAGATAGGTCAAATTATGATCAGTGAATCTATCTTATGTAAGACAGCATTTAACAAAACATAAAAGTTTTTTTGTAAGGCAGGTGTCACTGACTATTACATGTTTATTCCTAATTCATTTTTCTGAAATTGTACTGATTGAGCTGATTTTCTTCAAGCTTCTGACAGTAATTAAATGGGATGTTTCCTCCTTCCTTCAATTCTAACACTACTTTCAGTCAGTGCAGACTTCCAGGTTAAGGTTTCAGTTCCAAAAGACTTCTCTTACTTCAGATGCCCATTGGCAAATCCCAGATTTCCATTTGTGTTTTTCTGACCAGCCAACTTTATGTTGGGGGTTCCCATAACACTTCTGCAGACTTGATAATTTATTAGAGTGGCTCAGAAAAAGACTTTATTTACTACTAAACAGATTGTTATGTGGCATTTGACTTAGAAATAGCCAAATAGAAGAGATGTCTAGTGCAAGGTATGGAGGGAGGGACACAATTCTTTCATGCCTTTTATGGATTTGCCACCCTCCCAAGACCTAGATGTGTTTACAAACCATTGAACACGTTGAAACCCATTGTTAGGTCTTTTAATGGAGGTTCTGTTACCTAGGCATGATTGGTTAAATCATTGATCATTGATGATTAAATCCAATCTCCAGCCCTTCTTCTTCCCTCTACAGAAATCTGACAGTGGGTCTAAAAATTCCAGCTTTCTGATCACATGATGAATTTCTCTGGCAACCACCCCCTATCCTGAAGTTATATGTGAATCCACCAAGAATTGTTTGATTAGCATGAATTCTGGTATGGTTGAAAGGAGCTTTTCATGAATAATAAAAGATGCTCCTTTGATCAATTAGGAAATTCTAAAGGTTTTAGAAGCTCTGCTTCAGGAACTCTAGGCAAAATCAAATACATAGTTTTATTGTATTATAAGTACTTCTATACTAAAACTGTTATTTTGCTTTTCTTAAAAATGAAATAGCATTATTCTTTGGGAAATTGATCATACACAAATTAATACTTATTCTTCTTTTCTAATCTCACAAATTGGTATACTCGCTAATAGACTTTTAAGAAAGTATGTGTAGGGAGTATCATATCAAGATCAGGAAAAAATTATGCTAATAGATTGTTAAAATAATGTGTTAATATAATTAAAAGAATCTGGAGAATAAGCAGTTAAAATTTGCAGAGGAATTTAGTTATTTAATGTAGTGACGGGGCCTAGTAAATAATATCTCAAAGTATGATGCTTTGTCATGCCAAGCACTTTGAATGAAGGAAAATTGGAAGGCCTTCGAAGCAGTCTTAGAATCGAGGTCTCTCTAACTTTCCTTGTTTCTGTCTCCCTAGCTCAGGGAGAAGCTCTTTCTGAAGTTCCCTATTGGACTAAAGGGAAATTTTCCAAAAGAAAAGCACTTGTCTTGGACTCCCTTTCTAAATCTCATTAACCACAAATACTAACTCACAGAAAAGAAGATTAAAAAGTGTCCACTGTTTTGTACCAAAGACATCATTTATTACTCTGATGATTATCATGTGAAAGAGTTTTTATCTGCATGATAAGACAATTATTGTTGTTAGTGCAGTTCAACCCCTCACTTTGTCCAAGTCTATTGTCTATTCTTCAGGCCCATTTACCTTTCCTAAAAAATCATTTACTTAGCTCTTTAATTTTTTTTTAATATCTTCTTCCATTTTCTTCTCCCCTAGTGAGAGAGTATTGAAGCTTCAACCAGCTACCCTTTCTTTTTGTGTTCATATTTTGTTCCTGTACCCATGTGTGCATTAGCAAAATGGTGTACCTTTTGACCTGTGAATCTATTGTCAGTTTATGTCAACAGAATTAAAGACTCAAACCTTCAGAGGGAGTGGAAGAAGTCCTCTTGACTCCTATAGTAAGCCAAGAGTATTAAAATAGGAATATAGAAAATAGAATAAGTTTAAACTATACATATTAAAAGTTAAAAAGATGGAAGGAGAAGAAACACCTAAGAAATATTACAAATCAGAATGAATTTCTATAGTAGATTTAAATATTTACAACTAAAATCTTAAAAATAAACCTCCTGTGAAGTGAGATCATACTAACATCCATTGTCTTAAAAAAAAAGAAAGTATATGTTTCTAGCTATGTTCTCTTAGTTCATTTCCCAAATTCCAAGATCTTTGAAGATAAGACAATGAAGACAAGAGAATTGGTTCCTTGTTTCTTTCTATGCCCTGGGTCTAACTGCTTGAATGTTCTTTATAAAACCTTTGAAGGCAAAAACAAAACAATTTTTCAACAGTAAACCTCAGGTGAATACATTTATCCAGTTTATCAGGGGGTCTTACATATACCTGGGGCAAAAAAAAAGCATCAGAGAATTTTATTTAATCAATTTTTAGCATTTATTTTTATTAGCATTATTTAGCCATTGTTAGCACTCTGTGCTCTTTGACTATAGAACTTATTTTTAAGAGTAAATATTTCACTCAGAACTGTAACATATTTAAATGACTAGAACAGATGAGTTGTATTTGCATATTATTTATTTATTTTTTAAAGAATATTTTAAATGAATTCAGTACCATGTTGTTAAGGGACTAGTAAAAGAAACTTGGGAATGGATAGATTATTATCAAGGTAAAGGTACTTATTCCCCAGATAGCAAATTCTACCTATTTTAGCTTTTATTATCCTTAGGATAGTGTTCTATTTATTTCATGAGTACAGAAGTTTTAATTGGGTATGTCATGTTTCAAAGACAAAAGAAATGCCTAATTCACTCTAACAAACTTGTTAGTCACTGTTTATACCAAGAGGATTTCTACTCTACAGAGAATAATATTGTTTTCTTTTCCTTTGTTGATTAATCAAAGTTTTACACTGACCTACAGTAGTCAAGCATACTTTAAAGCAAAATCATCTCAGGCGAACTCAGATATGTATCCTTTCAGCTTTTGTGTATTCTTTTGTGCCCCTTTTTTGTTCTTTTAGAAGTGTTATATTTCAAGAATAATACATTAGGAATATATTCAATTTGTGACTACATTTTCTCTGATAAGAAAAATGTTACAGGTTTTAGTAAATTTCATTTTTTAGTAATATTAACAGAAAATTTATCATTTTTTTCCTTTGAAGTTGTTTAGTTACTTGCATATTTTTGCTTAGTTCAAAAGGTTTTTGGTAGTTAGTTGCATAACCAGCATGGAAATGACTTGTAGAAGCAACTTAATATATATACTTAGGTTTCTGTTTATTTTGAAGTCATAGTTTTTCTGGAAACGTGATTTTTATGATTTACCCTGCCAAGCTCATGGATCCTTCACTTGAACAAAAGGTTTTAGTAGGGGTGTTACAGTTTCAGTCCACCCTAATTCTGTTACTGTTTGCTTTGTTCAGCAATCACTCTGATCCTCCTGGCAGGGAACAAGATTCAGAGAACAAAACTAGTAGTGACTGTGTAGATAAAAAGGCAATGAATTCTGCTTTTAAGGCAAAGGGGGAATAGTCTACAAAAGAATGAAAATGGGAATAAAAGTATAGCATTGTTAACCTGCAGATCTATTGTACTTTTGAAAATCTTAACACTACAGAAAAAAAAAAAGTGACACTACAAAGACATATAATTGTGTGACTGAAAATCTTGAAAAAGATCACTATTTAGTTACTGGCCAAATACTTAACAAAAAATATATTCGATTATTCATAATTGAAAAATCATAGAACAGTTTTTCTTAAAATGATAGGACAGGGTTTCTGCAATGTACAAGCACCATAATATATTATTTATTCTCGTCCAGAACAAGTCTTTAGATACCGTGAAGATGATGGGGTCAAGAAGAGTACTCCAGAGAAGAATGGGAAAGAAATATCGGAGCAGACATTACAGAAGGTAGTCTAATCTTTAAGATATTGAGCTGAGCAAGTTAAATCTGAATTTTAACATAAAAGATTATATTTTAAAACGAGGGCTCATGAACTTAAACCTTGTGTGAATTCTTAATTTAAATTCATAATTCAAAATCATTGGCTTGCCAAAATGGGGTAAAAAAAAATCAATGTTAGTGATATAAATGTGTAAACACTATGCTTCCATTGACATAGACTAAAATATTTTCAAAGATAAAATGGAGAGTGTTGAAAACAGTTGAAGTTAACAGAATTTAGATGATATGTGCTTATTAGTTGTAACTGAGCAGTTTAAGTTTAAAATGGGTCATGATGAGACTCTGTGCTACTTTACAACAAACATACAGATTTACAATATTTGGACCAAAAAATGGAGCATAATTAGAGCTCTTACACTTCCAGTATATTTACCATTTTGTACTTGAAAATATGCATAGTTTATCCCATTTTATATAACAATTTGCCATATGATTTAGTACAGCTTTTTATTTAGTAAGACTGTTGTCAACCCTGTAGTCAAAATACAGCTTGCCTTTCATTGATGGTAAAATGCTGTTTTAAAATCTTAACATTTAGCTTGGTGCTGGGAGTGCATGCCTGTAATCCCAGTGACTTAGAAGGCTGAGGCAGGAGGATTGCAGCAAGTTAAAAGCCAGTTTCAGAAAAGCAAGGCACTAAGAATTCAGTGAGACCCTGTCTCTAAATAAAATATAAAAAAAGGTTTAGGGATGTGGCTTAGTGGTCAAGTGCCCCTGAGTTTAATCCCCTATGCCTCCCCCCAAATAAATAAATCTTAACATTTAGCTTTATAATGTTATACTTAGTCATATTTTTTCTTTAAATACATTATTATCAAATTCAATGAAATGGGCTCAATTGTATTAACATTTTTGAGTATTATTATTAAAATGATCTTTAAATTATTTAGTCTTGTAATTGACTCTCATTTGACAACACTGGATTGATTTTATATTTTATAAATCTTTAATACTTACACTGGAAACGAACATGTATGTAAATAAAAATTTAAATGTAGGTACTTATTTTTGTTGTATCTGTGAATTGACTTGTAGGAAATCTAGTGATTTATAGCAGATGATGTGATTCCCTGTACATTTAACACTTGGTATATAGTAAGATAACAAAGGATGTCATCTCATTGTTTCTGAATGGCATATATCGGATTAACAAGTAGTGGCACTCCCTCCTCCACAGAAAATCTTAACTAAACTTTTCTAGAAATCTTTACCATAATTGATTTTAGGATTATTAGCAAAAGAGCCTCTACAAAAGAGTTCAATGTAGATAAACTTCCCATTTTCCTGTTGCTCTATTTTACTTGGCCACTGGCCTAGAAGAAATTAGCACTCCAGGTGCTGAATGCACCTTTACTAGTTTTTCACAAACATTTATCCAATATAGTAGTTTGTAGAAGTATGTTTGCAAATGCAAATGTGATTTTTAAAAGACAAATCTTTTAACAAGGCCTCTGGCCTTGAGCTGGAACTTTACTGAGATGTCTAAGTTTCTAAGAGAAGTTACCAATTGGGCTCCATGGTAACAGCTGGGCAGGGGAAGGGGAGAAGAAGTTCTCCCCTTCCTCTGGCATTGTCCTTGAAGGGTTACTTGCCCAAAACAGTGAAAGAAAAAGCTGCTATGTGTGAACTTCTGCAGATTGTGAACTTCTGACCCCCTCCTCTTACATGCCGGGTATAAAGTTCTGAAACTGCTTGAACTTGAGATTCAGGGGATTAATTGATTACACTGAAAGCTGTACCCAAACCTGGCTGCAGCCAAATAAAACTGATTCCTGCTATCTTCCATGCCCTGCTTGCTCTATCCCCTACAACAAACATAGTAACTGAAAACAAGAAATGTTCATGTTCATTTATCTTAAAGTAAAAGGAATAACTGAAAAATTATCTGTACTACTAAGCCAAGATTTCATATAGTTTATGCTTGTTTCAAAACAATATTTTTGTTTGCCAGGTTTTGTATAATTTTTGTTTCTATGAATATGTAATGTTACTGTTTATTGCTCTAGAATAAAAATCCAATAGTAATCTATTATTTCATTCTAACTACCATAAATGACTTGAGTTGTAGATCCAGAATCTACTCTAAGACCTAGAAAATCAAGAGAAATTATTTTCATTGGAGTGTGTGTCAAATTAAGATACTAATTTGCCACTTTATTAACCTAATGTAGTTGTATTGGTTGTGCTTTAATTCCTCCTGGTTGAATATCTTTATTTTAAAAGGATATATATGAAACTTATTCAAAATTGATTTAAAAGACAGTAGCAAGATGCAAACAATATTTGTATATATTAGAAATGAAGTAGATAAGCATATTTTATTTTTTAATAATTTTTAATTTTTTTATAATTTTAATTAGTTATACATAACAGTAGAATGCACTTTGATATATCATACATAGATGGGGTATAATTTCTCATTTTTCTGAGTGTACATGTTACAGAATCATATTGGTCATATAGTCTCATATATACATAAAGTATTAGCATGTCATAATGTTATTGACTGAAATATGTCCTCTGGAAATTTACATGTCAAAGTTCTAATCTCTTATATCAGAATTGGATAGAGTCTTTAACAAATTAACTAAGTTATAATAAGGTTATTAGCTTAGGTCCTTAATTCAGTATACTAGTATCCTTATAAAAAAGGAATTAGGACAAAAACCAGAGTGAAAACCATGTGACACAGGGAAGATTGCTACTTACAGTGAAATGAGCAGAACCTCAGAAGAAATTAGCCTTGCTGATTCCTTGTTCTCTGTTTTTTAAACTTCAGAACTAAGACAAAATAAATTTCTGTTTAAGCTGCTCACTCTATGGTACTTTGTTATAGCAGACTTATAAAATTAATGTACACACTTTACAATGACAGGTGTTTTATTTCAGTTATGAAAAGAATTAACTCTTGAATACTTATTATTTTAGATGTTCAGTACTGAGATAAAGTAGGGGCTTGAACTGATTTAAAACATAATCCAAATGCCTTTCACAATTCCTCAGATTTTCATTCTTAAAGTAATTTTAACAGTTCTTGAGACGTGCTTTGAATAATACCTTAATAGATACCATGGATTTTCTCTCTTCAAAATCTTTAGAAGTAGTGTCTTTGTTATCTGTCCTCTACTTTAAACTTAAAGTCAAATAATTTTGAACAGTTCTTATGACTAAACTAGATTCACATTTGGTTGTTAACAGACTATAAACCACAGGCCTTTTTAGTTAGTATGTGTAAGGGCAGAGAGATGCAACACTTGTACAACAAAGGTTAGGTTAAGGGAAAAGCATAAATTTATTTAATCAAAGTTTTAGGTGATGTGCAAGGATTAAGAAATGAAGACCTAAAGAGCCAGGGAAAACTATCTTTTTTTTTTTTTTTTCTGGGAGGACAGTACTGAAGTTGAATGCAGGGCCTCTCACATGATAGGCAAGCGTTGTACCACTGAGCTCCATCCCCAAAACTATCCATTTTTATGCTTAGATTCTATGAATCATGGAAAGCTGTGTTGAAAAGAATTGGGAAGAAGTATATGACCCAATAACAGACTAAGGGGGAGAACCCAGAAAAGCCTGGTTGCTCAGATTCTTTATGGCCTCTCTGTGTAATATTCTCAGCCCCCCCACCCACCAGGCATGGGGCAGGTGAAAAGAGTAGGTAGAGAGTGACCTTTCTTTGTATTATGAAATTTTCAGGGAGAGAGGAGTTGGAGTTTCAATGAAATTTTGGTTATCATGCGGTAGGGAAACATAAGGGCAGGAGGTCAGAGAGACCTTTCTTCTGAGGCCCTTCCAATGCCCTTTAGTTCAAAGTACTCAGCTTGCCAAAGTACCATTCTTTGGGGTATTGTGTACTGAGCCTAACATATGTAAAATTTTCCTGAATTGTACCCAAACTTAAATAGATGTTAATCAAAAGGAAAATAAAAATCCTCTAATTTCTAGAATTGAAATCTCAAATTTAAGGTATTTACTTACTATATTTGTTTATGTTTTACTTTAATCAAAACTGTAAAGTTTATTTAATGGCTAATCAACATACTTAGAATAAGTAATTATATTTTAGCTCAATAAATTTTAATAGGCAGCTGTTAAGATAATAATAATAGAAACAATAATGATGATAATTGTTTAGAACTTGTTGTTTTCCAGAATTTGTTATGATCTTGTTTTATACTCATAATAAGCCTGCGTAGTAGACATTACTAGTCCTATCTTTCAGATGAGAAAACTAAAGGTAAAATGGGTTAATTATCTTACCAGCTAAGTCATCCAGAGCTGGAAATGAGATACAGACCTCACTCAAAATTCTGTTCCTTCTAATTCACACTGATTCTTATTTATACTTTCATACTAACATTTCCAAAGTCAGTGTTAAGTGCAGCTGATTGTTTGTACAAAATAGTGGTTTTTAAAAATAGAATTCATTCTACATACCCTACCATGGACATGCTAAAATATTTTAAAATGTACTTATGGAAGTATATTGTTTGGGGTAGTCTTTAAAGCCCTACTAAAGGAAGTTAGAGAGACTATAAAGGTAATATTCTTGTTTGTCTGTAGCATATTTTATTAAAGTGGGAATAAAAATTGAATATAGAGTGATTTGGAAAAAGTTACAAGGATCAGCCAGAGTTTATATTTTCTTGAACACTATTTTTTTTTGTCACACTAATCTGCTCTCCAATAGAGTAATTGCATTGAGAAGGCACAACATAATCTCTCTCGTAGAAATACACAAAGATATGTAATAGTCTGGTATAACCTCTACTCTCAGTCAAGAAAAGGTCTAATAAGGGCCGTATCATACTGTGGAATGAAGGGATTAAAATTAGATGAGATTCTTCTTATTATGTTGGTAAATACCCCATGCTCCAGAGTAGGATAGCTAGTCAATAAATGACTGTTCAAATTATTTGAAGCTAGTTGAACTCACAATAAAAATAGGGGGAAATAACAGGATGGATAAATCAAAGATGACCTGAAATTTGTGTTTGGAAGACAATTTTCTATATTCATCATTATAGAGTTCACTAAACTGGGAAATGTTAAGAATATGTACAAGTTTTATCTTATATATTCCTTTTTATTCGGGGGTGGACTTAGGTATGCTCTACCACAGGGCTACATTCCTAGTCCTTTTTTTTTTTTGAAGGTCCTTTTTAAAAAATATTTTATTTACATTTTTTAGTTTTCGGCAGACACAACATCTTTCTTTGTATGTGGTGCTGAGGATCGAACCCGGGTCGCACCCACGCCAGGCAAGCGAGCTACTGCTTGAGCCACATCCCCAGCCCCCCTGGTCCTTTTTAAACATTTTTTATTTTTATTTTGAGACAGGTTTGCACTAAATTGTCGAGGATGGCCTTGAGCTTGCAATCCTTCTGTTTTAACCTCCCAAGTAACTGGGATTACAGGCATGTCCCAACACACCTGACTATCTTGTATGTTTCTGGAATATTGTTAATTCACATCATTTATTGTTGTCATAGTCCCTTCAAGCTGCTATAACTAAATACCAATAAACTGAGTAATTTAAAAACAATGGAAATTTATTCACACAGTTCTGGAGTCTTGGAAGTCCAAGATTAAGGTGTCCACAGATTCCGTGTATTCTTTCTGTTGGTGCTTTCTAGCTATTTCCTAACATGATAGAAGAAGCAAGTTAGCCCTCTAGGGTCTCTTATAAGGACACTAATCCCACTCATGAGGGCCCTGCCCTTATTCCAAATTAGGTTTTAACATAGTTCTGGAGGGATCAAGTATTCAAACTATCAAAGTTATCAAAAATGCTTCTCCCAGACACACACACACACACACACACACACACACACACACACACACAGTGTAGAGAGGGAAAATATTATCTCCACAGATTTTTAAAAAATACATATGAGGATTGTAGTTTTTTAATCATTAGATTTCTTGCTTGTCTTCAGTTCTTTCCTGGCTTAATTGTTTTTTCCTTTTCCATATATATTTAAGTAACTCTTCTTAGATGGCTTATAGGATAGTGGAAGGGGGCACAAAATCCTGAATGTGAGTTCCAGTTCAAAGTAGAAAATGTTTATCTGTATATGTAATTAAAGTTTTCAGATTCTCTCTTTGCTGTCTGTTTTCTACTCTGGAAAGATAATCAATGGCTCTATTTACCTCATGTGTTTAAGATGATGAGGAGAGATCATGTTTATGAAACTGTTTTACAAATAGTAAAATATACTTTATAGGTAAGTTTTCCCACATAATCACCACTGCATTTATGTATAATCATTTAGAAATAAATGATTTTGATGTACCATTTTTTTAAAAGCTTCACATAATGGTCATACCCCACTATTTTTTTTTAATTTGACATAAAATGTTCAGTGATTTTGCAATGCAATATGGTAGTAGGGCTTGTTATTTATTTTTCAAGATCTTAATCTAAGTCAACTTCTCCATGAAATTTATATACTCTTAAATCAAGATTAATTATTTTTCCTTGATGCTCAGAGTTTTGGCATTTAGATCATATCCTTTATTAGGTTTAGGTATGCAAATTGTAGTTTTTGAAATTCTTTAAGGTCAGGAAGTGTATTTACCATTGCCGTGTCTTAAAACATGAACCATATTTATTGAAATAAATGGGAAAACTAATTGACATGCAGCTTTGAAATCACTATAATTTTAACTTTTAGACTTTTTTGGTGATTTTTTTTTGTATCACGGGCCACAGTAGGGCCACATGACTACTATAATTACATTTTTTCTGATTTGGAAAAATAGCAGCTGTGATAGGCTGCTTTGTATTTAGTCATCACTTTTTCATATGATAAATGTTGTTTACTAATAGAGTTTCTTCATATATCTGTTTTAATACTCTGTATAAATTGTTTTACTCTGAAAATATTTTTTTCATAATGAGTGAAATATATACTCAAAGCGTTTATGGTCTTAGAAAACTCTGCAGTTTATTAGCATACTTAGTTCTGTGTCACTTTGTATAGAATGTTAACTTCTTTTACCATCTGTCCTATATTCAACAGATGTATTATTGCATTTTTGAATGTATTCATCTATACCATCTTAGAATTATTTAGAAATTAAGTACCTTAGATTTATTTTATCCTTGTGCTCAATGTAATTTTTCTTTCATTAGTTAGAAATGAGAATAAAAATACAGTAATTATGTTTTTTTATTTAAAAAGGTAAATTAAACTCTTTTGTTTAGGTCATTGAGTTGGAAAATCGGCTAAAATCTTTTGAGAAAAGGTCAAGAAAATTAAAAGAAGGGAATAAAAAATTAATGAAAGAAAATTATTTCCTGAAATCTCACTTAAAACAGCATCAAGAAGATGCGGAGACTAGAGAAAAAGAGCTAGAAGAGCTACGAAAGAAAAGTGAAGATGTTGAAAAAGACAAAACTGAACTTCAAGGAAAAATCAGTGAGCTACAGAGAGAAGTCGCTTCCCTAAGGAAACAAGTGGCAGAAGCTAATGCATTGAGAAAAGAAAATGAAGGGCTGATGAAATTGCACCATTCAGCAGACAAAGCTGGATTAGAGATTGCCACCACAGAAGGGAGATCTGGACAGTATGATTGTAAGACAACCACGACCAAGGTTAAATTTAAAGCTGCCAAGAAAAAGTGCTCTGTGGGTCGTCACCACACTGTTCTCAATCACTCCATCAAGGTTATGAGTAACGTTTTTGAGAACCTCAGCAAGGACGGCTGGGAGGATGTGAGTGAAAGCAGGTAAGGCTCTCATTAACTTAGCTCTGTGGTGGGGACACCGTGCATATGTAAAGCACTGGCAAATGGAGATTGAATTTCAACTACTGTCGATTTGGTATTCAGAAAAAATACTGTCAGATCCTTTGAAATATCTTGGGAGGTCTTGTTCTGAGCTTATTGACTGAAATTTGCATGCAAAATTAGCCACAACTGCATGAGTATTTGAATAGGTGCCAGGAAACCCAAAAGAAGGCAATGCTTGATTTCTTCCAGTGATGCTATTTTCATGCAGTCATGAGGCTTGAAATTGACAGTTTGGCAGGTTGATTTAATTTGCTGGCCTTTTGCATATTCACCACTGACAGCTAAGGATTCCCAGGCAAGCCTACTAAGTCAGTTTAGTTATCTTGTGACATGCCAACCTGGGAGGAGAAACATTCCCCCCCCCCTAATTTAGTTAGATAAATTTTGAATGACCCATTTCAGCTTGTTACCAGATGTCTACAAGCTGTTTAACATCCTTTAAATTAAGAACCATCTTCACTAATTATTTTATGTATGTATTATGCAAAGTCATTGTACTAACTTTAATTGAATGGTCGTTAAAAATTATTTCTTAAAAGTTATAAAAATTCCTACTCCTTAAATTTTTTAACCCTTAGTAAATTGCAATAGGAAAATACTAAAAATCTATATTATTTCTTTCTCTTATCTGTGGCTATACTTTTATATACACTTGAAGCACAAAGGCAGATCAATGAGACAATACCTCTTTTTCATACCTAGGTAATAGGGAAGTTCACTTTTGCCAGAATTGCTAACAAATTATCAAATTTGCCATAGTTTAAAAATGCCTGTTTCATAGTGGCATATATTTCCCTTTATTTTTCATAGTTTTTGTTTTGTTTTTAAATTTACAGCAGTGGTTCTGGTTTAGATTTGAAAAGACTGTGGATAGTTTTCTTAATCATAGACAACTGAAAAATTTTTGAAACATATTTCCAAACTAGTATAAAGGCAAAATGGTATGATACCATACCTAATCCATAATAAGGGTTAGGGCTGACATTACTATGATAAAAGACATATAAAAAAAGAGGAAAACATAATAGTTTATTTAATCAGTTTTACATGATAAGGTAGCCTTCAGACTGAAGACTCGAAGACTCATGTAAAACTCCATTTTTATGCTTAGATTAGATGAAGAGTAAATAGTTACATAGAGATGTGATTAGACTGAAGGTTATAGTCTAATATAATAAACCAAAGGGGAGTTACAAGGCAAGATGTGTGTATTCATATTCTTCTTAGCCTCTTTTCTTGGCATTCTTTCTTCCTTGGTGTAAGGTAGGACCCTTTTTGGAATGAGGGTCTTATGATCTATTACACACAAGATAAGTGAGAGAATTTCTTTGCAGTTAGCTTCTCCACCTTTAGTTATTAAAGTGGAGAAGGTTAAAGTAATATGTTTTAAGCTTTATGGTCTGTTTTGGGGAAAAGGGTTTCTAGTTTCTGTCAACTGCCTCAGGGAAAAATAATTCTGGTCTGTGACTTATTGGGAGAATGAAGAGTCAGAGATATGAGGGTAGGAGAAGTTCAGAAAGACTTTGTTCTGAGTCTGCTTCTCAGTCTTCTGTGTCCTTTAGTATTTAGGATGCCAAATTTCCATACTTTGGGATATTATTTTCTGAGCCCCAAAATTGTTTTATATTATAATCACCTGGAGGTCTCATAAAATTTCAAAGTTCATTCTACACTTCAGACTAATTATGACTTTGGGGCTGGGATGTGGGCCTCGGCATATTTTGAAATGTCCTATCTGATTCCAATGTGAAGATTAGTTTGGGAACCCCTGTTTTAAATGTTCATAAAGTCAAACTCTTTGTCTTTAGTTAGGATAAAACACTCAAAAAAACAAATTTACGAAGTTAAAGCCAAGGATCAAATCTATATTCCCATTTTCTTAATATCTCTTTTCATGTTCTTCCATGTTATCAAAAGCTATTGGAGATAAAATCCTACCTAACTTAAAACCCACTAATCATTTATTTGTATCTTCAAGGAAATTATACTTTTAGCTGTAAGTTGTACTTTAGCCATGTAGTACTGCTATACCATTCATAACATAAAAATGCAGTTTACTTATGTGTGAACATGCTTGTGTTAATAGTATATGAAAAATATACTCAGTTATAATTTCATCATATTAGTACATGTTTATAAAATCATATATTTTTAGAGATGCAGCACAGTATATTTGTTAAAATATTGGAATTTAGATTAAGTGTTACATTTCCCGCCTGACAGAACACTCTCAGGAATCATTCAGCTGCAAAGAATTCTCAGACAATTAGAAAGCCTACAGTGGAACTCCAGGGATTTCAGAAGATTTTATTTATTTTAATTTTTTGTAGACCAAAATATTGTTTGGTTACTGAGAAAAATGGAAGTTAATCATATTTATTATACAAATTTTATGTGTGTGTATGTATACACATATATACATATATAGTATACATTTAATACATAAATATATATATATTTATGTATCTGTATATATAAGTACATTCTATAGTTCTCTATTGTTCTTCAACAAAGAATAACAGAGAAGGTAACAGAAAAGCTCTCAGCCCTCACCTGTCTTTAAGTAGGACATAAATTTATGTAGGTATTCCACCTTCCCTCTCTACCAGGATGGACAAAAATTAATCATTGGAGAGACTTTTAATCCTAATCAGCCTGAGAATGGCTTCAGAAAATCTACATACCAAACTTTACCAACTGGCACATATTGACCATTAATTTCTTACATACTTACCTGCCCACAGTTTTGCTACCTCTTGGGACTTTGTTTCTTTTCTTTTGTCAAGTCACTACTCTAAAACTTTATTGTTTGTTGAAGATACAATGATAAGATGGAATTCTAAGATACCTCTTGGAGCTACTCACACCTTGATACTCCCATGCTATTTCCATGTTGCAGGTGTGATACACAATGTGACTGTGGTATTTCTGTGTTACATGTGTGATACACATTGATGAAACTGTTTGTTTTTCTCTTATTAATATGTCTTTTGTTATGGTGGCTCCAGTAGAGAACTTAGAAGCGTAGAAGGAAAACAATTATTTTTTCATCCCTACAACTAAAATGTCTACATAAATTTTCTCTTACTAAATTCTTTACTTACTTGCCTTGTTACTTTCCCAAACATATCACAAACATTTGTGATTCTCTTTCTTTACCCTAACTTTCTGTCTTTTCCTGCCAATGTATTTTATTTTCATTCAAAATTATTTTAAAATACACTAATAATCTTTAACATTCTTTCTTATTTCTTGTTTAAGAAATAGCTCATGCCATTTAGATTCTTTCAGAGTTTTCAGCCTTAAAGTCTTTTTTATCTTTCTTCCATTATCAGCTTTTAAAAATAGATGTCTCCTGTTGGTGGAGTTCAGGACACCCTACTCAAAAATATAGCTGAAGGAATTTAAGAAATGTCAGGTGCTGGAAGAACTCTCCATTTTTCTTCCCTGAAACAAGCCATAAGATCCTTATATTAGAGATACCCTTTATATCCCTGGTAGAAATGACCATCCTTATCTCCAAAGAAGAGGAATCTGAATGAAGAGGCCTTGCAAAAATGTTCCCCGATTTTTTACAGTTAGCTCATATTTCTTTATAAAGTGTCCTATGTCATGTAAAACTTACATCAAACAGATTCTCTGAGAATATTAGACAGGTAAAGGAAAAAAATACTTTTTTTCTCAACTATCTCTACTTATTTACAATAATTATAGCAATTAGGTACATAGAACCTTTAGCTACACTGTTCAAACCTTGGCTCTAATATCCTCACTTTGTAACTATAGTCACATTATTTGACCTGACCATGACTCAGTCTTTTCATATATAAAACAAGCATAATATAGAAACTTGGAGGAGACAAAGTTTATTTTGGCTCATGGTATTGAAGGTTCTGTCCATGGTGGGTTGACTTCATAACTCTGGGCCCAAGCATCATGGTAGAATGTCTCTGTGGAAGCAGGAAGCAATATTCAGGGAAAGCCAGAAAGAAATGAGAAGCATGAAGGGACCATAAGGACGATGCCGCCTTCCTAGATACATACGCTCTACCCAGTAACCCACCATATCCAACCATGTTCTGTTTTTTCATTCAAACTAGTATGGAACGATTAGGTTACAGCTTTCTCAATCCAATCATTTCACTCCCAAACATTCTTGCATTAACACAGGAACTTTGGGGGGACTCTTCATATCCAAGCCATAATATTCCATCCCTGGCCCATAAAAGCTCATGTCCATCTTACAAAATGTGTTAGTCCACCTCCAAGAGTCCCATAGTCTTAACAGTTTCAGTGTTGCCCAAAAGTCCAAGTCCAAAGTCTCCAGTGAAATTCAAGGCAAACTTTTGGCTGTGGCCCTTGTGAAATTCAACAGCAAGTTACAGATATCCAACATACAGGAGCACAGGATAAACATTCCCATTCCAAAAGAGAGGAATAGAGGCATAGAAATAGAAAGAAGGGATAGGACCAAATGTAATCAAAACCCAGTTAGACAAAGGTCCCATAACTTCACATACATCATCTAGGACACATGGCTGTGAGATATGCTCTCCAAAGGGCTTAGGCAGTCCCACCCCTTTGACCTTGCTGGTTGCAGTGCACCTAGGCTCTCATCTAGCCTGATTATCCTCACAGCCAGCAGATTTAATTGATAGACAGTCGACATTACAGGCATATCTTAATTTCTGGGATATCTATTTGGGCTTTGACCTTACCTTCACATCTTCACACATCACTCTCTCAAATGCCAGCCTGCAGGGATTATAACCCTATTACACTTTACCTGGCCTTCTAAACCTTCCTGTGAAATCTCAGTGAAAGCCTCCATGACCCCTTAACACAAGAATCCTGCATTCCTACAGAATCAGCACCGTATGATTGATGCCGAAATCTGTGTCAAGTTCCTACAATACCTGGGCCCATTGCATGGTGAA